GGTAGGTGGCACTGATGGGAATTGACAAGCATCACCGATGGGCACTGAAAGGCAGCACTGATAGGCAGTACTGATTGGCACTAATAGGCGGACATGACTGGCATTGATAGGCGGCACTGACAGGCACTGATAGGTGGCACTGATAGGTGGCACTGACGGGTGACACTGAAAGGCAGCTCAGATGGGCACTGATATGTGGCATTGATGTGCACTGGTAGGCACTGATATGTGGCACTGATGGGCACTGGCACGAGGCACTGACATAAGGCACTGATGGACACTGACAGGTGGCACTGCTGGGGCTACACTGATTATCAAGGCACACTGATGATCAGTGTACATGTCCCCTCCACGGAAAGCCGATTACCGGCTCTCCTCTCGAGCTGTCAGCGTGACAGCTCAAGATGAGAGAAATGCTGTTAACCGGCATTTCCCTGTTTACATGTGATCAGCTGTGTTTGGACACATCTTTGGCTCTTTCGGTGATCTGAGGGACACAGCGCACCGCCGATCGCCGCGCTGTGCGCTCCCTGAGCCGCGCATGCGCAGTGAGAATGGGAGGACATCATATGATGTCCTCCCAGAACGAGAGAACCACCTTGCGCCCATCATATTACTATATGGCGGGCGTGAGGTGGTTAAAGATACTACCTCATTGAGACCAGGTGGTGAAGTGGCATTTAATTTAAATATCCACCTCAGTTCACACTGGAGGAGGTGATTATTCCGGTCCCCCCCTCATGAACCCAGATGGATACGATCGAAAACCAAAAAGTTAATTCGAGGAAATTGCTCTCCATGAATATGAATAACATGTTGTCCAATGGGTTACAAGATTTCATACTGGATGTATGTCGGTATGCCCTTCTCCATAATTCTAACTTAGTTTTACCAACATAAAAACTGGTGTAATCACATGTGAGGAAATAGACCACCTCATTAGTTTTCAATTTTCATAGTGCCTGGGTATACATTTTTTGCCATTTGGTAGAATAATTGATTTATTTGTATTCATATATCAGCAGTAATTGCATCTCCCACATGTTAAAGTGCCAGGATATTTGCACCCTTCACCTTTAAATTCTCTCTGGACTAAAAATTTCCTTAATGGATTTGGAACGTCTAAATTTGGCGTGTTTTATTGAAAACTCTTTATTATGCTTTCTTCAAATGAGTATCCTCTCAGTAGTAGCCTCTTAGTTTCTTGCCTCTTGATTATTCAAAGAAAAACACTCAGATTTAAAAAGATAAAAAGTCGCATTTCAATATACCACATGGAAGTTTCCAACCAACAAGATGGCCGCTGCTTCCCCGTGTGTGATGATGTCACACTTTATAAGTCCTTCCTATGCATTTTGTCATCAATGTCATCAGGGGCATGGCCTAATGCAGACATCATGTTATATTTATAGGGAGGCTAAGACACCTCCCCTTAGGGTAATTGCACTCCAAAAACCTGGAAGTAATACCCTCTCACCAGAAATATGGCTCTCAATGGCCAAGATGCACTCTAATAGTTGGAAACCTAAATAAAAGTACAGGTAATGGGTGGAAATTAAACCAGCCATACTCACTGTGTTACATGCATAAAACGTGCCATCCCATACAAAAAATAAGGGCGGTAAGGAGAAACAAAAAGCCCAGATAAGTTATTAAAGGAACAAGCAGCTACATATAAAATTATTTCAGATAAAAACAAACAATCAATAGGTCATTCAAGCTGTTACCTGACAACATCACCATTATTTGGTTGGATAAAATAACATATGAAATGAATATATTAAATAATCCACATTACAGTAAAATTACAAATTTTATGATTAATACTCCTCAAATGTGTAATATTTGTTCTTACAAATTAGAGGAGTATTTATATCATAAAATAGTTAAAGTAAATTGAGCAAAAATAAAAAACAGATTCTGTCTGAATCACCGGGTGAAAATAATTAGAAAAAAAATGAATGCAATCATCACACAAGAACTGGTAAGTTGCAATTGAATACATTTTTGAAAAACAAACAAAATGAAAAATTGTGCCACGCCCTTATATTAAGCTCCTGTAGGGATGAATGGAAATAATATTTAAATAAAGGGATTATCTAAATTACTCTAATATAAAATATAAAATTCATTGATATACACACGAAGAAAAAAAAATGTTATATATATGTATATATCAAAAATAAATATATCAAAAATAAATATATAAATACATAAAAATATATAACTGATAAAATGTCCAATATATATGAAAGTCCAACCTTGGATGAAATCCCATCAAGATGGGGCTGAATATGATTATTGCAAATTACTGTTCACATAATCCCGGATAATCTACAAGAAGAAATGCTCAAAACAACAAAGGGTTACTTGGTGTGTTCCTGTATGGAAAACAAGCTAAATGGTTCTCCTCTTTGCTCCTGCTGATCCTGCTATGGATGGATCCAGGGTAAGGTCCTCCCTCCAACAGATTGTGTGTGCTTTCTCCCTATTACTCCACGTGTTTCCAGGAGGAAAAAGAGAGAGGAATAGTGCCTTATCCTTGGTTAAAATATATATTTATTGGTGCCAATTTTGCACTTGCAGATATAAAAACTATATAGCGCTTTTAGTATGTGTGTTGTGTCCAGCCTGGACGGCGTGTAGACACACACTGCCTGTACTCGCCGTTCGTAGGAGTCAAGTACGTGGTGACGTCAGTGCCCCTCCCCAACGCGTTGCGCCACAGGGTCACGTGGCTTCGTCCGGGGGATGTGATAGCTATATTTCGAATCAATTTTTGTATTATATCTTTATTCATTTGTTTTTATATAGTACAAATAAATTTCATATCATCATCATTCAATACACAAATCTATACATAATTACATTCCTTATCCCCAAATTAACCCCCTCCCCCCGTTCCTCTTATCTTCTATGTCCTTCTGTTTACTTTTAGTTCTTTTATTATTCTACTACTTCCCCTCCTTGTCTTTTCCCTCTTCCTTTTTATCTTCCCTGGCTTCTTATTTATTTTCCTTTACTTTATTCCCTTATACTCTGACCACTTCTAAAAATCTTTTTGGTTTTTTTTAAATATGCCATCCTTTTCAGACCTTTTTAAATTTTTCCATCTTGTCTTCCTCTATATGATATAATTCTTCCATCCTGTATATGTATTCAACTCTATCCAATCAATCTTTTATTTATGGGGGTTCTGTTGTTTGCCAATATTTAGGGATAAGACTTTTGGCCGCATTTAAAAGATGAAATAGCATCATATTTTTATATTTTTTTCACCAAAAGCTCTGATTTTTAAAATAGACAGGCCCACGGGTCCATTGCTACACTTATTTTCTGAATCTCCTGTACGTATTGAACTATCTCCCTCCAAAACTCCTGTATTCTGGGACACTCCCACCAGATGTGTGCCATTGTGCCCTTGCTTCCACATCCCCTCCAACACTGGGATGGGGCCTCTGGTCTAAGTTTATGCAACACATTAGGTGTAATATACCATCTTACCAGACATGTATAACTAATTTCAACTATTTTCATATTCACTGCCACATGTGTTAAACTAAACATTTTACTTTTTTGTTGCTCATTCAATTTTTTTTTTTCCAAGTTCCACCTTCCATTTCTCCAAAAACTTTGGGGATACCAGTCTCTCTATTTCAGTAAGAATTCTATATATCCTGGAGGTAGTGTGTTTTTGTATTCTATTCATACTTAGTAGTTGTTCTAAGGGGTACATTTCTTCCTTTGTTCTTCACGGATGTGAGAGCTTTGCAACAAAATGTCTTATTTGACTGTACTGCCACTCATTTAAAGAACACAATGTCCTTTATCCACAATGTCCTTTTTAGATGTGCATTTCTATCAATTATCCATTTCCCTGAAATATTGTAATTTCCAGGCGAGAAAAACCTAGTTCCCGCCAACGAGATTGACAATGAATTAAACTTCCAGTCTTTCTGCTTGTGCATTTCATCCCAAATCCTAAATACATTCTGTGTCAAAGTGCTTGTATCTTGACCCCATGTACTAAATTCCTGTGGTATCCAAATATACTTATCAAATGATGCTTTACATAGTGAACTCTCCATTTTTATCCAACTTCTTCCCTGTGCAGTATATATACAATCTGCAATCTGTGTTAATATCACCGAATTATAATATCTCTTAAAGTCTGGCATATTTAATCCCCCCTTTTTTATTATTGCATAAAACTTTGTATTTCACTCTTGATTTTTTATTATTCCTCACATATCTGAGTACCATTTTTTTTTAGAAACCTAAAATAAATCACTGGGAGAGGTATCAGGAGCACATTAAATTTATACAAAACTTTAGGTACTACTATCATCTTAATTATGTTTATCCGACTTATGCAGGACAACTTTCCCATGGAGGCTTTTCTCAGTTCATCCTTTATGTCATTTATTAACGGAATACAATTTACACGATATATGGTTTTTATAGGTGATGTTCGTTTTATTCCCAAATACTTTAATTCTGTTTCTTTCCATTTAAAAGTGAATTATTTTTGTAACATTTGTTTCTCCATCTTTGGAATATTTATATTTAAGATCTCACTTTTTGAGGGATTGCTGTATTTTTCGCTCCATAAAACGCACGTAGGTTTTAGAGGGAGGAAAACAAACAAAAAAAATATTCTGAACCAATCAACTGCAGACATAATACAGGAAATGACCAGAGACTGCAGACATAGTACAGGAGATTACCAGAAACTGTGGATACAGTACAGGGGATGACCAGAGACTGCAGACATAGTACAGGAGATGACCAGAGACTGCGGACACAGTAGAGGAGATGTCCAGAAACTGTGGACACAGTACAGGGGATGACCAGAGACTGCGGACACAGTACAGGAGATGACCAGAGACTGTTGACATAGTACAGGAGATGACCAGAGACTGCAGACACAGTACAGGAGATGTCCAGAGACTGCAGACACAGTACAGGGGATGACCAGAGACTGCGGACACAGTACAGGAGATGACCAGAGACTGCTGACATAGTACAGGAGATGACCAGAGACTGCTGACACAGTACAGGAGATGTCCAGAGACTGCAGACACAGTACATGAGATGACCAGAGACTGCAGACACAGTACAGGAGATGACCAGAGACTGCAGACACAGTACAGGAGATGTCCAGAGACTGCAGACACAGTACAGGAGATGTCCAGAGACTGCAGACACAGTACAGGAGATGTCCAGAGACTGCAGACACAGTACAGGAGATGTCCAGAAATTGCAGACATAGTACAGGAGATGACCAGAGACTGCTGACATAATATAGATGACCAGAAACTACAGACATATTACAGATGACAAGAGACTGTGGACGCAGTACAGGAGATGACCAGAGACTGCGGACACAGTACAGGAGATGACCAGAGACTGCGGACATAGTACAGGAGATAACCAGAGACTACAGACTTTGGGGGAGAGGGTACCCGAATTTGACAGATACCCGCTCCCACTTCCACAGAGTTGTCCTCCCTCCCCGTCTTCTGGGACACATGACAGGTCCCATAAGACTGCCAGACCATTCACAATGCACAGCACTTCTCGCTCATGCGCAGTGGGCACCCGTCTGTGAAGCCGCAAGCTGTCACAGCTGGGTGCCCACTCTAAAGATGCTGGCGCCGGGGAGAGAAGATGATGAGGACACCGCTGGACTGAGGAACAGGAAGGACCGAGAAGCAGCTTCTGCTGTACAGAAGAGCCGAGCGGCTGGCCCGGTATTCTAACACGGCGGCGGTGGGAATACTGGGCTGGCTGCGCCATATTTGCTCCATAACACGCACAGACATTTCCCCCCATTTTTTTTGGGGGGGGGTAAAAGTGCACCTTATGGAGCAAAAAAACAGTAATTTTCAAATGAGATAACTCTCTGTATTCTTTCAATATTCTCATTAGGTTTGGTAATGTTAATCTGGGGTTTGCTATATAAAACAGCATATCATCCACATATGCGGTCTCTTTATGTTCGGTATCCCCCGTCCATATTCCCTTGACATCTAGGCTATTTCTAACAGTAACTAATAGCGGTTCTAGAGAGATCACAAACAACAATGGGGATAAGGGACATCCCTGTCTAGTTCTGTTGTGCATCTTAACAAATTTGGTTAACACTTCATTTACCTTCACTGCCATGGAGGGACGCCAATATAGCTCTTTTATCCACTTCATCATTCTGGGCCCTATTCCTAATGTTCTCAGCGTATCAAACATAAAACTCCATTCTACTCTGTCAAAGGCTTTTTCAGCATCTACCGACAGAATAATTCCTGTTACCTCTCATCTTTCAACCTTTTGTAAGATGAAACCCACTTGGTCGAAATGTATCCAGTCCAACATCAACTCTTTCATCCTTGTTGCTAATACCTTCGCATATAATTTTGTGTCAATATTCAACAGAGATATAGGTTTGTAACTGGTACACTGAAACCAATCATTCTCCTCTTTAGGTATAACCGTGACATATGCCTGACTCCTCCCTCCTCTTTGTCTCCTCTCCCAGGGCATTCATATAAATGCATAATTTAAGGTCTAATTGTTCCTTAAACGTCTTATAGTATCCTACTGTAAATCCATCAGGACCTGGACTCTTTCCTACAACTGTGTCCTTGTAATGCTTTGTTGAATTCTTCTATTGATATTGGACTATCTAAAGCTATTAATCTAGCTTTATCCACTCTAGGTATACCGGCCTCATTCAGATACATCTGCCTTTTCACCCCCTATTAACTATATCAGTGGTTGAAAAAAACATTTCTCCTTTTTGTTTTTAATTTTATCTATGAAGTTCCTTGATTTCTTTTCCTTCAACTTCCTCATTAAGTATTTCCCTGGTTTGTTCCCCCACCGATATCTTTCCTTTAAGACCCCATTGAAATTGTTCTTGTTTCTTGTTCCATAGTCTTTTAACTCCTCTCTTTTTAATATTTTCTTTTGTTGTAACTCTGTATTTAGCTTCTTTTTATGTAATTTTTTCAACTGATGAAGTTTTTCCATCAATGTCTTTATTCTTTTCCCTCGTTCTTTCTTTATTTCCGCTCCTATTGTATTCAGTATACCCCTTATATAGGCCTTATTTGCTTCCCAGATCATGGCAATAGACACCTCCTCAGTCTCATTACTCTTAAAATATTTATCTATTTCCTGTTTCACTCTATTCCATATCTGGGTTTTGTAAGATGGTCTCATTTAACTGCCACATATTTATTTTATTCTGTTCCCTTCCAAACCATAATCTCATTGTGACTGGGACATGATCCAATACAGACATTACCTCTATATTAGTTTTCACCAGGGACTCTAAGAATTTATGTTCAATCAGCATATAATCTAGTCTTGAATACATCTTATGCACTGCAGAGATGGAGTCTCTTTCCTTGTGGTGTTTGATCCTCCAAGCATTTATCAACTGGCATTGATGTAACTTTTTTCTAATATTATTTAGACTCCTGTCTCCCTCTTTCCTGGTGCATGAAGAGGCATCCGTCCCTAGGTCCATGCAGAAATTTAAATCACTGGCCGTGATCACATTACCCCTTTTACTACTTGCCTACAGGGCACTTTTACCCCCTTCCTGCCCAGGCCAATTTCCAGCTTTCAGCGTTGTCACACTTTGAATGACAATTGCGTGGTCATGCAATACTGTACCCATATGAAATTTTTATCATTTTTTGTGACAGATAGAGCTTTATTTTGGTGGTATTTAATCTCCTCTGGGTTTTTTATTTTTTCTTAAACAAACCAAAAACCACTGAAAATTTTGAAAAAAAAAAATTTTTTTCGTAGTTTTTGTTATAAAATTTTGGAAATAAGTGAATTTTCTCCTTCACTGATGTGCGCTAATTAGGCTGTAGTGATGGGCACTGATAGGCTTCACTGATGGACACTGATAGGTAGCACTGATGGGCACTGATGAGGAAGCACTGGTAGGTGGCACTGATAGGCAATGACAGGCATCACTGATGGGCACTGAAAGGCAGCACTCATATATGGCACTGATAGGCGGCACTGACTGGCACTGTTAGGTGGCACTGATAGGCAGCACTGGCAAGCACTGATAGGTGGCACTGATGCACACTGATAGGCGGCACTGACTGGCACTGGTAGGTGGCACTGATTTGGCATCACTGATAGGTGGCACTGACTGGCATTGATAGGTGGCACTGACTGGCACTGATGGGTGATACTGAAAGGCAGCTCAGATGGGTACTGATATGTGGCATTGATGTGCACTGAAATGTGGCACTGATGGGCACTGGTAGGTGTCATGGATGAGCATTAACAGCTTGCACTGATAGGTGGCACTGCTGGGGCTACACAGATCATCAGGGCACACTGATGATCAGTGTTCTGATGATCAGTGTACATGTCCCCTCCGAGGAATGCCAATTACCGGCCCTCCTCTCCTCTCAAGCTGTCAGCGTGACAGCTCGTGAGGAGCGAAATGCCGATAGCCGTCATTTCCCTGTGTACATGTGATCAGCTGTGATTGAACACAGCTGATCTCATGACTGAGCCGACATCTTCGGCTCTTTCCATTGATCGGGGATCCGCTGTGTCCGAGGGACACAGCGCACCGCCGATCGCCGCGTGCTCCCGGAGCCGCGCATGCGTGGTTAGAATGGGATGACGTCATATGACATCGTCCCAGAACGAGAGAACCACCTTGCGCCCGTCATTGTACTATATGGCGGGGGCGGCAGGTGGTTAAACTCTGTAAGTTTTGGCAGTATTCCTTCCAGGTATACTGTCGGATTTTTATTAGGACAATATATATTTGCTAATGTACACTCTTTTCCCTGCAAATTCCCTCTTAAAAATAAATGGTGGCCTGCTGGATCTATGATCTTGTCATCTGGAGTAAATTTTATATTATTTCCAAAGCCTATTGCCACTCCCTTTGCCTGTTTTATTGGAGATTTCACATAATACCAGGTTGGTAAGAGTTTAGAGTATAACTTAACCACCTCCCTTCCGGCCGTTGCATATAAACGGCTGAACGGTGGCACTGCAGGGTCGGGTGGCTGTCTATAAACTGCCTCCCCGCACCCTGCTTGTGCGCGCTCCCTGGAAGCGCGCAGCACCGCGATCCGGTGCCCGCTGTGTCCTCCGGACACAGTGAAACACCGATCGTCGGACGGGACCTCTGTACGAGATCCCGATCATGTGATCACTGATTGGCCAATCAGTGATCACATGCAAAGTAGTAAGCAAGATGTCACTTGTGACATCATTGCTTACTACGTGTGAAATCTGTGAATGATCACAGAGGCCACATGGTACAAGGCTATTCACAAAAGCCTTGTACCATGTAACAAGCTGTGACCAATCACAGCTCACTCAGTACTTCTCAATGAGTGCAAGAATGCACACAGAGAGAAAGAGAAATGATTGCTTTTACATCCTATATGGGTGTAAAAGCAATCAGTGTAAAAAAAAAAAAAAAAAATCTTCATTACCCCCCACAAGTAGTATAGTGTCACCATGGTGACACTGTACTGCTAGCGTGACAGTATGTAAAAAAATAAAATAAAATAAAAAATAATAATATAAAAAATTAAAATGAAAATGAAAAAAAAAAATGTTTGAAAATTATAATTTTTGCTTATAAACTAATTTGGATTTTTTTTTTTTTACTAAAAAGATAACAGAATAAATTTTGGCTAAGATTTATGATGAAATATTATTTATTTGCATAATTTTATAAAAAAAAAAAAACACTTTTTTTCAAAATTTTTGGACATTTCATTTACATAGCAAAAAAAATACAAATCCCAGTGGTGAATAAATACCACCAAAATAAAGCTTTATCTGTCTCAAAAAAATGGTAAAAAATTAATTTGGGTACAGTGTTGCATGACTGCGCAATTGTCATTCAAAGTGTGATAGCGCTAAAAGCTGAAAATTGCCCTGGACAGGAAGGGGGTAAAAGTGTCCGGTCTGGAAGTGGTTAATATTTGAATCCTGGGATATATGCATCTCCTGAAGGAACACCACTTCTATCTATCTATGCCTATTTCCCTTAAAACCTTATGTCTTTTCATTGGTGTATTTAATCTTTTACATTATATGTCATAAAATTAACCATGTTCTTTCCTCCCATTTTAACTATTTCCCTCTATGTATCCTTTATAGGGGCTGAAGTAAACTGCATTTTGAAGTAAGAGGACCTTCCCTTTCTTCCTTTCCTCCCCCCCACCAAAACCCCACTTACCTATTCCTTCTTCTGGGTAAAACTCTGAGCATGCACTCTCCTTTGGACCCTGATCTCTCATTTTTAGGTCCGAAATTGGCAGCATGATTGGTCTCCCTTCTGCCAACCGTGGTGCTCTGTCGTCTCCCCCTGCCTACCCATTTCTCCTTTGTTACCCTTCTCTTGCTTGTCT